CATATTGAGTATAAAAATACAAGGAATCACTATCCCTTTTATATTATATGTGAAGGAGTATATTTATCCCTATGCTATTGGCCAGTGAACTGAGGTTATTTTGGTTTTAGAAATGCATGATTATAATATATTATAATTGGATACCTTTATGGTCTTATAATTATTTTTCTTTATTATATTTTTATGCTGTGTTTTAATGTATCTTCCATTTATCAATCTGACAGAGCTTGACATTATAATGTTTTCAAGTAGGTATCACCTTGAATTAAACTCAAGTTTCACACATATGTCATAAAAACACACCAATTATTTCTAGAGCACATCCAATTCAATTCAATACATAACAGGCTTGATAGAACCAACATTCAATAAACTCACAACCAAATCTATGAAAAAGCCTCTGTGATAGTGCATGCCAGGCAAGTGCCACAAATGGTCCCCTGGTTGATACTTTCTGTTCAATTCTGGACCTGTGCTGAGACCACCAATAATGTAGAATTTGATTAAGTTGGAATACTTTCTGTTGAAAAAAAAATTACGCCACAGGTGGCACTCATTAAAAATGTATGACCACAGGTTTTTGGAAAGGAAGGAATTTGGCCCATAGTACATTGTGGAGCTTATATAGGCAAGGCGGTAACTGCGGGTCTCAGCAGTAGCTGCCACTGATGACATGGTACACGCGGAAAGCTGAGGCGGACCAAAGTAAACAAAGGAAAGTATCTTCAGGGCTTTTGTTAGGCTGAGAGGATTAACTTTTGCTTTTGTCAGCCGGAATAAGCAAGCTTCCGTTGGCGGCGGAGAAAGTGCGGATGGGGAATTAGAGGGGGGTTTGGTTTCAGGGGCTTGAGCAGGCATTGGAGGAGGATCAGGCGGACGAGAGTTGTTTTGGAGGGCGCTGCAGGAGGCAAGATGGACTGGCGGAGCACTGAGGGGGTCCAGAGGTTGAGCAGCGGGGCCTGAGGAACGAGGCGGATGCAGGGGCGGTCAAATCGGGGCGGTGCTACAGGGAGTGGAAATTGGTGGGGATTCAGGGGTGCGGGAATTCAATGGGAGCGGGAAGGAGTTGCGGGGAGTGGCTGAGTTGTGCGTGGGGAGATGCGGGAGTTTTGGGTATAGAAGGGGGGAGTCTTTGCACATATAGGAATGCATAATTTATATCATCATCTCTCACAACAAAATCAGGGGAAAAAGTTGGGGGAGTCAAAAACTTGAAGATCACCAAACAGGCAGAACATTCACAGTCTCTTTCCGGGTTGCAGTGTGCAAAGAGCGGTAACAAGGGAGTGTTTGTTATTGGGGATTGAGAAAGATACTCACCAAACTAGCAGTTTGCCGCAGTGAAACCAAAGGGTACTCGACACACATCGGAGAAAAACTCAGTTACCTTTTGAGACGGTGTTTCTTTCTACATCTACACCGTGCCGCAAGCTAGCCAGATCATCCCCTTATCCCCCCGCTGAAAACAACTCCCTAGACACACTGATCAATGACGGACTTACCAACAGCACCATTTGCCGGACCACCTCTCCATTGGCAGCCCCTGTCATCTTTTCTGCGAAGAAGGATGGTAACCTCCAGCCTTGCTTTGACCACTGGAAACTAAACCCGGTTACCGTCAAGAACAAATACCCGCTAACCCTCACCATGGACCTTGTCAACAGCCTCCTTGATGCGGACACCTTCACCAAGCTAGACCTGAGGAACGCGTATGGTAACTTGCGTGTTGCCAAAGGTGACAAGGAAAAACTGGCGTTCATCTGTTGTTCAGGTCAATTCACACCCATTCGGGCCTACCGGAGCTCCCGGTTACTTCCAGTACTTCATGCAAGACATCTTCCTTGG